CAACCCTCTGCCATGGACAGGGACAAAACAATTGAAAAAAATTTAAACAGTGCATCTCAACAGGCCCTTAACTAACATCAACAAGTCAACTTTAAATATTATTTTATAATATTAACATTACATTAAAATATTTTAAAGACTTCTAACACAACACTAGTAGTGAGAGACAGGACTACAAGGCAAGTGATTAGCTCTTCCACTGCTCTGATTCCACTTCAGTTGCAGTGAAAAGGCTTCCAGCTGCTCCTGTTTTAGGGATGAGGAAACAGCAGAAAACACGGATTAGAGCATCAGACAGATCTAAGTCTTCCCCTCCAGTTTTCTCCTGTCTTTATACACAGCTAGAACATGAGCAAAAATCTGTGAGTGCTGTCAAGGGCTGGCTTAAAAATATTGTAAGCACAAAATATTCCTTACGAACAGCCAGTGCCAAGCCACTGGAATAAGCAGGATGGTTTGTTTCCTCCACTCCTGGGCAAATATACGAGCATGGACACAGACCTACAGGATTTAAACAGCCTGGAAATAAACTGAAACCATATGCATCACTGAACAGCACAGCAGAAATTCTGTCTTGGTGTATCAATCACTTAATTTCACTATGGCCACGATTTGGAGCAGAAAACAGCAAATAGCCCTGGGATCACTGAATGAAAGGAACTGTGTGAGTAGAAGCAGTGTTTCCTTGCTGCAACAGAGAACAGTTGGCTTTGCCTTGATATGGAATATCCAGGAATTGAATCTTCAAGTCAGAAATACTGTCCTGTGGAACATGGTAAAGCCAAAGCAAATGCAGCATTCTCCAGGACAACTAACAGCAGGAGGAAAAGAGTGCTCGTCCACCCTATATGAAATGTTCTCTCTCATTCCCTCTGAGATTACAAATTGGGAAGAAGAAAAAAGAGCTTTGTAAAATCCATCAGAAAGCATCCATGTATTCCAGTGACTGTGAAATAGCCTGCCCATTTCAAACAGGCTCATACAACACCCCTCAGTTTTCCCTTAAATCACATGTTCCAAGGAGACAGTGACACTTGCCAATATTAATACTCCTTTAACCAGCAGACAGCATCAGCTGAGGCACAAAGCAGCATAATTCCAGAAATAACAGATCCAATCTGGCCAATCCGACCTCTGTGCTTTGAGGCTGATCCTCATCATGACAAACCTCACCAAAGCTCTCCCTGTTCTGCACAGCTCAGCCTGACTCAACTCTCAAAGTCCCAGCGCCAAGTGTCTCTTCTCAGCTGCAAACCCGACCACTCTACACAGCACTGGTTTTCATGAGATAGCCGTCCTAAAATCCCTGGAACCTGTGAGTAGCCAAATATCTCAAGCCTGGGCAGGCAGAAAGAACCAAAATAAACTTCTCTTGGAGTTTTCCACCGATTGCATTTCCACAAAACACAAGCTGTCAACCTTTCACACCAAGCAGATCATTATGGGAGACCTTTACAGCGAGGTCAATGCAGCATTCCTAGAAACCCAAGTGCATGACCATGGGGCAGGGATTTGTGTTGTTGTTTTGGTTGCTTAAAGCAAAGATAAAATAATTCTTACATGGAAGAAGTCAGTGACAAGCTCTACCATAAAAGCAGCTATTCTGGGTCTCAAGACTGCTCTGGGCAGGATTGCACTGCGAGTTGGCTCCACCATTTTGGGTCAGGAGAATATTCAAACCTTTTAAAAAACTGGATTAGTAGAGCAAAGCAACACACAGAAAAGAAATGGGGATTAGCTTTAGAGGAACAGGATGGGCACAGGCAACAGGAAGGGAAAAGAAAGAGGATTATTTTAGTGTTTTCAACACTGAACTAACTACCCACCCCTCTCCCTTCACTGGACAATGGAAACAGCATCAACACTATACATTTTTCATATAATTTCTTGGACCTGCTTTAGGGGATTCTGAAGAAATGACTAACAGTGAGAAGTATAAAAGAATATTCAAGAGTTTCCAGACTATCACAAGAGATCATCCATCTGCTCAGGTAGCAAGCGTGAATCAAACTGCAAATGAGACAAAGATTTGGGCAAGTCGCAGCTGAGTGAAACAACTGCACCTTGGGATAAGTTTGAAACAAGCCAAACCTTGAAACATTTAGGCTTCAAGGAACACAAGTGCAGAGCATCAACATCTCACACTGTAGGAGAAATAAAAGAGCTGGGAGCAATGGAATTTCCCCAGCACAACAAGCAGGCAGGGAGCTGCTGCCAGACCAGCATTTTAAATTTCCAGTGCTTCAGTTCTGGTTCCTCATATATTTAATTCAGATGATTACTTGAGATGCTTCAAGCAGATAGAGCATGGCTTGGGCTTTTTGGCATCTCTACTCCCATGGTAGGAATCACTCCAAGGAAAAAAAAAAACTCTCCTTCAGCAAAAATAACTGTTCCTCAATGAAACCATGAAAGAGAAGTTACAGAAACCTTAATCACATTCCAGGCTTCCAGGCTGTGTCAGTGAGTGATTGAGGAGATCAAACTGTTGCTGTAAGAATGACCAAGGCCCAGAGAGTCACCTCCTCCGTGCCGGATGTTACAGGGGCCCAGAGCATGAAACACAGGGTGAGTAAATAGCAAAGAGCAAACACCAACTGTGTTTACACAACTCCCTCCTCCTCTGTGAATTCCAAAGACCTATGACTAAGTTCCTTTGCAGAGAAAGAGCACTTTCCTAATCAACTGCTGCTGCATCCACTAGAACATGATTCAGAAAGGCAGCACTGGCACTGAGACTATGGCTGCTGCTTTTGACTCTCCACACCAGCACATCTCAAGAAGCAAGCAAGGGGAGAAGACTTCAAAATGCAACTGGGAAGATGAATAAAGATAGTTTACAGCTTTAAGAAAACTGCTAAGCCTGATTTCTAGTATATTTCTGATTTTCAGACTTTTACACAGCAAACACAGCAGCCTTCCAGAAGAGCCCAGCATTCTGTCTGCTTTTACCAAAGCCTTCTCTTTCCCTCCTCCTTCTGCTTACCCATACTTAGTATTAACTCTTTTCATCCATCCATCCATCCATCCCTAACCTGTCCTTAAGGAGCATTTTCCTCCTTTCCCTGCATTCTCCCACTGTTCCAAGGTCTGACACTAACAATGCTCACTGTTGCTCCCTGAAGTCAGGTCTGGAGGGTTTCACAGAATCCCATAACGATTTAGGTTGGAAAGTACCTTACAGATGATCCTGCTCCACCCCTTGCTGTGGGCAGGCCCACCTTCCACTAGACCAGCAGCTCCAAGCCCATCCAGTCTGGTCTTTAACACTTCCACGGATGGGCCAACCTGTGCCAGAGCCTCCCCACCCTCACAGGAAAGATAAAGGCTGGATAATAAGTGAAACAATTCTAGGAGGTGAAATGACACAAAACAATCAGGTCCTCACAAAACACTAGTTTACACATTCACTCCTTGCCATTTATTATTCCTCCCTTAGAGACTATCGCCAAGCACTGCAAGTAACCACAAATGTGCTTAAGTATTATAATTTATATGATGCTCCATGTAAAATCTATATAAAAAATTTAAAATTGCATTCACTGTCACAGTGAGCAGTTGCAGCTCCTGATTCTGCTTTTCAAATCTTGGGGGAAAAATTCCCCATTGCTCAAATTAAAGAGATCATCAGGAAACTCTGGCACACTCCCAGCCAGCTGTTCAAATGCTAATTTTTTTAATTATCATTTTGATCAAACATAAGCCAGTCCCACATTGAGGGGAAGGGCAGCCCCAGGTGACTTTACTACAGCTGAACCCAAGTAAGATTCAAAGCCCACTGGTTCCTGAATTTGGGGCAGGATTTTCAATTAATGCATCGTTAAGGAGTAGATGATGACAAGAAGATTTGAGAGCAGCTGCAAGGCAAGTTGGGAGCTCAGCTCATGTACCACACTGCTGGCAGCACCAGCAGGTGACAGCCCACCATGGCCCCAAAGAGAGCAAGGAGGAACAGAGCAACCATGTCCACAGGACAAGCAGTCACAGACTTCAATTGCAGTGAGGGAGATTTAGGTTGGGCATTAGACAAAGCCTCCTTACAGGAAGGATAATTGAGGAGAGAGATAAATTGCCTGGGGAGGGACAGGAACTGCTCTTCCTGGAGGTTTTACAAGTGGAGGGAGACATCTGTCATGCTGACCCCACTGTGGCCAGGGGGAGGATTAGCAGCCATTCTAAGACCTGGCTCTAGTTTCTAACAACTTCCCAAATGCCTTGCTGGTCTTCAAACTGCTCTGATCCAGGAGCTGATAATGGCACAGAAATACATTTTGTTTACACCACAGCACTTGGCAAAGGCTGAGATTCAGCATAACCAACACACAGTCAATCGCAGGCAGGGCCTGGGCAAGGCTTCTCACCCTGCTCTGCCAAGTGCTGGCACCTATTTCATAGAATCATGGAACAGTTTGGATTGGAAGGGATGTTAAAGATCATCTAATTCTAACTCGCTGCCATGGGCAGGGACACCTTCTGCTACACCAGGCAGCTCCAAGCCCCATCCAACCTGGCCTTGGACACTTCCAGGGATGGGGCAGCCACATCTTCTCTAGGCAATCTGTGCTAGGGCCTCACCACTCTCACAGGGAACAGTTTTCTCCTAATATCCAATCGAAACCTATTCTCTCAATTCAAAGCCATTTCCCCTTGTCCTGTCCCTCCAGTCCCTTATAAATAGTCTCACTTAAATCTTTCCTGTGGGCTTCTATCAGGCACTAGAAGGCCACTAGAAGGTCACCCCAAAGCCTTCTCTTCTCCTGGCTGAACAATTCCAATTCTCTCAGTCTTTCCTCACAGCAGAGGTGCTCAATCCCTTTAATCACCTTGGCGGCTTCTCTGGACATACTCCCCAGTAAAGACAGGCTACTATTTAGGTGTGGGTTCCAGGTACGAGGAGGCAGATAGCCAAAAGGCAAGCTAATGTCCACACCCAGAGTTTGTCCGGTGCAAGGCAGCGCCCTTGCCCTGCAGAACTCAGACAAGACACACAAACATGTTACCTTTTTAACATTTTCCTCCTCCTCTTGGCGTTTCTCATAGTGTGAGAAGTCATCAAAGATGGAGGTGGTGTGCTTGTAGGTGGCGATAATTTTCAACACCTGTTTAGCCTTTTCCAGAGGCACCTCCTGAGTGTCCCTGGAGTTGGTCACTGGTTTATTCTCGTTGTTCTCTAGGCGGATGTGTCGCAGCTGGCTGTTGGGAACGTCCTTCACAAAAATCCACCTGACATCAAAACGTCCCTTCCATTTGTCCTGGGACCACACACCTGCACAGGTGTTATAGTCCACAGCAGATTTCATTTCTGCTATGCCGCAGAAGTGACCACTACCATTGACACTGAACAGTAAGTATACGGGGCCCTTCCCATTCATGGAACGATAGGCTGCATCCAGTCTCTTGTTGCCATGCTCCGTACTGCACCAGATGTTGTATTTAATAGAACGGTGAATATCATCCTCAGAGTAACTCTTAATGATGAAAACCCGCCCATGCTTTGGGTTCCAGTCAAAATCCTTGGGGTTGTAGTTGTTAACAGATCTCAACTTCTCCAAGACTGGGTGTGGCTCAGAAGGAGAACCAGAACTGGCCTGAGCCTGTCCCACTCCGTTACCATCCACTCCATTCTGGCCAAAGCCGTTGCCACGATTCCGAGGGGCGACCCACCGGGTGGGCTGCGCTGGTGGCACAGGCAGTGGGGCTGGTGGTGGCAGTGCCTGCGACTGCTGCCCACCCAGAGCCTGGGTCACTGGTGGGCTACTACTGATCTGCTGGCCCAAGGGCTGCGGAGACACCTGTGGTGGCTGCTGGGCAAGATTCTGGACCAAGGTCTGTGATGGGGCTTTTGCCACTGACCCTTTGTTATCCCAAGTTCCGATATCCATGTTATGTTTTATGGGAGGCGGCGGAAGACTTGGCCCTGCAATGCCATTCTTAGTCTTCAGCTTGGGCTGCTGCTTGGCAGGTTTGCTGGCAATGTCAGCCCATGAGGTCGGCTTTGGTGGTGCAATCGTTGCCGGAGGCAAACTGTTCGACGTCACAATATTACTGGTGATAGATCCGCTCCCCACGGCTGAGCCGACGACTTTCGGGACACTGCTCGCCACGTCCGTGCTGCCCAGCTTGAGGGCTGCCATGCCCTGGTCAATGGTGTTCATGCCAGGAGCCTTGTTCAGGGTCTCACTGGCAAAGGCTGACTGCCCATCGATCATGGCCCCTCCCAGTGAGCTGGGAGCATAGGCATAGTTGCTGCTGTAGCCAGAGCTTTGAGTGGATTGTCCCTGAGAATTGTTATTCCCCCAAGCCGAAAAGTCAATCCCACTTGGAAAGAAGTTAAAGCCATGCTGCCCAAGGAATGGAGTGCTGCCAAGGGCCCCTGGCTGCCCGAACATGGCATCGGGGAGGAAGTGAGGCTCCCCGTTGCTCAGCTGTCCATATGAGGTCAGGTAGGGCATGGGGGGGTCTCCCCCTGTGGACCAGGCAGCTTCGCCTAAGGAGTAGGAGAATCCAATGGAGGGACTGAAGTAGCTTGGTAAGTAGGAATCAGACATTGCAGTGTATGCATTACTCTGAAAGAAAACCACAAAAACATAAGCACTGAATTGTTAGGAGGAGCTGAACCAATTTTAAGGGACCAGGAGTAAAGGCAGCTTAGACTTCCCATGTCCTACTCCTTCCTACTTTAAGGCTGGGTAGATAAATAGGCCCAGCCTTGAACACCTCCTTTGTTAGAAAGGCTCTAAAATCTGTTCCATTGCCAGAAAGGTTAAAGACAAAGGCTAAGAAGGTTAAAGGCAAAGCTTCCCATGCCAAGAGGTGAGTGTGTGGTGTTCCTGAAATACACTGGCCACTGGGAATCCCCGGAGCTCCTGCTCAGACTATAAATCCAGTATCTTGCATCCAAATATCATCTTCTGCTAGTAGCTACTTCCAACAAGGGTTTTTCCTGCTTGTGTAACATACTTAACCCTTATCAGAGTGTTCCAGGGAGGATTTGGGGAAAGAATGCAGAGAGAAGGAGAATAAGAAAGAAAAGGATCCAGTGGAAACACACTGTGAAAATCACGAGTGCCCCTGATTGCTTTCCTTAAACTTACTAGCCATGAAAACAGCTTTATTCCTACAATTTGAAGTTCCACATTTCACAATATTTCAAGCAATTGCAAACAAACAGGGATTTAAGGCCTATTCCTCAAAACACAAACTCCTCCAGTGCTGTGGGTACACACTGAAAATTACCTGAAAATGGGAAGTAATCAACAGAAGCCTTTTGCAACACAGTGACAGCACCAGTACAAGCAGGTTTCAAATCCAGAGAGAAAAAAAAAACCGGCTCCATGCCTTGATCTCCCTTTTAACATCCAAGTAACCTTTAGGTTACAAAAAACAAATGCCTAATTTGACAATTAGGGAAGTCTGAGACATCCCCAAGATTTGCTTACATGAAAAACATCTGTCATTTCCCATTCAAACCCAGGTCCCCTCTGGGGAGTGGTCTCAGTCCTGCTAATGGGCATCATCCTCAGTAATTTGAACCTGTGAGCAGCAGCCTCGCGCTGCCCAGCCCCTAACACACCAGCCCAGTACAGACAAGATCAAAGGAAAATTCAGTTCCCAGCTAAAAGCCTGGCTTGCAGCAGGCTCTGCTCCATTTTTCATTGAATCACATATTCACGTGCCCAGCACAGCTCCCAGAGGATTTTATGCCACGCTGAAATCCAGGGAGTCTCTCAAGATGGCTCTGGCACCCTCCAGAAATAGCTGGTTTGCCACTACCTTCTACTTACAGGAGAGCAACAAGTTTGGATCTAACCAAGCCCCAACTTCACCAAAATTAATAGGAATTATTTAACACCATGTGTTCAGAGACAAGATTTCTGTGGTACTGCCTGAAAACTAAAGAGATGCTCTGTTCAACCTTTGATTTCACAAAGGGCTCCCAAAAGCAAATTAGTAAAAAAACTCACTCTCATCTAAGGTTTTACTAACTGAGAAACTCAATCCTGCTAAACCCAGGACTCAGTATATCCAAAAGCACCAACACTGACACTAACTTGTAAGACAAATGAAACTTAAAACTTCCTATTACTATTTTGAGCCAACAACATCACTTCATAAGTTTATTGCCTCAATGATAAGAGTAACATTTTCTCTCCTGAACTCAGCTTTAAAGAAACAGGAACATGCCAGCCCATCCCTAAACCTGAGGGATAGCCATTGTCTCTCCACAGGAGCACTCAAAGCACATCACTGTCAGATTAAAAAAAAAATAAATTTTTTCTTCTTGTCACCTCAAAATATTTTCCCACTGGGCAATTATGTTCAACTTTGAGATATCTAACACTGGGTGTATTATGACCTGTAGAATACTAAGCACCTGCATACAGGTAGTAAGAAGGGAGCAGAGCAGTTCAAGAGTTGAGCACAGGCAGCTCAGAGCAGATTTGGGACACAGTCACTGCTGTTCTCCACCTGAACGTCTCCAACACTGCTTTGTTATCAAACACAGCACCTCACTCTGTTCCCCTGCCCTTGCGCAACTGACACACTTGCTGATTACCATGCAAATAAAACTCCACCAGCTTCTCATTCTCTCCATGACTAAGACTCTTCGCACAGTTATTTCCTCAAATTCACTGTTCCTCTTCACCTCAGACCAGGGTTCTTAGTGAGCCTTGCTGTTCAGCTTTTGGTTTTTAAAGGGTTAAAAAATAATTTACTGTGTATCTGTGCTTTAAAATACACAGTAACCTCATGGGAACTGACAAGTAACAGTCATACCTGAAAGAGCAGGTGGGGTTTAAGGAGTAGTGAAACTTTACAACACAGTTACCTCACGTGTGTGTGGAGAGCTCAGGAAGCAACTCCAGAAGTCATTTAATTCAATTATTCAGAGCAGTTTCTCTAACTTCCTTTTCCATCTCCACCAAAGAGGTGTACCCTTGAATATCTATGTATTTTTGCCTCCCTCCAGACAGAGCTCTGGTGGTTTTGGACTCTACACAGCACAACAAGGAACTGAGAGTCACTCAAAGGTTCCACTCCAAGTTAACTTGGTGGTTTCACCTTGCTCTGGCTCAGTTTCTGCCTCCTGGGGGCACATACAACCACTTCCTTATTTTTAAAATTAATTTTTACCAGCCTGAGACACACTGAAAGAAATTAAAGATCCAGAAATACTTCATCAAAACATGTATAAGAGTAAAATACTGTGTTGCTTCAAAATTATAGTAAACCTTTTTGTGTTTAGGAAACTTAAATAAAACTGCAGTTTGTATGAAATACATCCATATTCAGAAAGAAGCTGGGAATTAGGGATGTTGATAGCTGAGATGGAAAGAAACCAGCATAAAACAACAGCTACTAGGAAAGCAGCTGCTTTTATTCAAGACTTGAGAAAGCAATAACTTTCTCTCACCCTATGAAGGCTGAATTTAGGCTTGTAACTTTTCAAGGGGTTGAATGCAATGAGTTGTCTTGATGGACAGGCTGAATTCTGAAGATTATGAACAGCTGACAGACAAAGAATACTTACTTATCCTCAGATCTTGAGCACAAACTAGGAAAATACTTGCTGAAAATTTAACTGAGACAGTAACCTGCTCCTGTGTTCCAATAAAACATGCATCACATTTACATGAAAAAAAAAATGTACTGACTAATAAAAATATGAAAAAAAATACAGCCAGGGGAAACCAGAACAGCTTATTTTTACTAATCACAACTGGAAAGAGAAGGCAAGAGAATAACCTGTCTTCTCCAGTGCTATTACAGATGTTTATCTATGGTACTCAATTGTACATCTAATCAGCTCAACTCCATCTGTTCTGTGTCACTCCCCTGCAGCTCACTAAGGAAAACAAACAAACACAGTTAACAGTGGTGTTACTCTAAGAGAAAGAGAAGAGGAAAAGTAGCTGCAAGTTTGACTTCCAGGATCTGGTCACAAAACTCCAAAACTCTTTGGCTCAGCTTGTAACTGAAGTTCTCAGAAAGTCTCAACACTTTTATCACATGTGGACTCTAGGTCTGGGTTTTTTTTTGCGAAAAACAGAGAAATCCCCCTGACAGGCATCATCAGTTGACTTGTGTTGAGATAAGAAGGTTGATCTGATCCTCTGAAAGTGCAGTAGTCTTCCGTGAAGCAACTTCACAACCCAACTCAGTATATTTCTCTGATGTAAAGAACCAGAAACCAACACAGGCACAACACTAAAACTGAAAGAGCAGAAATGGTGACTTTGAGACAGTCACGTTGGAAAAAAAGAGCTAGACACCAATTCTAGGAAGTTCTCGCAGCCTCAAAAAGTTGCTAAAAACCTTCCTACCTCACCCACCACAATCTAAGGGCAGTCAATACTTTCTGCCAGCAGAAATGCTGGTAGAATATATATAGGAACTATATAGGATAGAATATAAGTTAAGGCAGCTGGCAAACATCAAAATGCAATCAGAGGAGATGGAGAACATACAAGGAGGCCAAACGTCCCTCCCTTGGAGCAGCAGGAAACCTTGCTGCTCTTGGTCCTCCTGCCAGCAACAGGTACTCACCGGGCGGGCCTGGGGACTCAGGTAGGGCTCAAAGTCATCATCATTCAATCCATCTTTCTGGTGCACAGAACCGTTTTGCACTGAGAAGAGATGTGTAACATTAGAAAAACCTATGCAATAAGCTCCCATTATCACCAGCTTAAAGTATTTAAAGCCAAACCCTAGAATATACTTCTGCCAATTCTAACACACCACACTTAGCCCACGGCACACAGACACTTTCCCACCGCACAGGCATCACCTGCAAATTATCCCCAGCCCAGCAGCCAGGCCTGGTCGCAGGGTTTATTTCCCTCCCGGCAGCAGGATCCTCCCGCTCCCAACCAGGCCCGCCCGGCCCCCCGGGATCTCACCTTTGTTGCCTTGGCCCTTGGGTCTCTGGCGCGACAGCAGTGACGTGGGGAGAGAAAAAGGGAAAGCCGTGAGTCAGAGGAACAGACCCGGCCCGGGTGGGGATACAGACCCGGCCGAGTGAGGAGATTACAGATCTGGGGTGGGTAAACAGACCCGTCGCGGCGGGGGAAGCCGGCGCCCGGCAGGGACAGACCCGGCCCGGGGAGCGGAGAGATCCGGCCGGGGAGGGTCGAGCCCTGCGGGGACAGGCCCGACCCGGCCGCATCACAATGGAGCGCGGCCCCGCGACGGGAGAGGAGTGAGGCCGCAGCAGCCGCCGCCCGGCCCGAGGCGCAATCCCTTAGGCCCAGAGCCGCGGCCTCGCCCAGCAGGGCCGTCCCGGTATCGGCGGGGGGTCTCCTACCTGCTCCAGGAGGCTGCTAGCCGACATGGCTCCGCGGCGGGGCTGCAGGCGGGGCGGGGCGGAGCGGGAGGCGGCGGCGCTTTGTCCGGGCCCAGCGGGCTCGGGCTGCCCTGGCGGACTCGGGGCGGCCGCCGGCAGGGCGGGGGGACGCTCTATCCCACCATCTCCATCCCACTCCCCCCGGCCGCGCGTCTCTATGGCCCGGGCCCGCCGCCTCGCGCTCCCCCCGCCCGGTCACGCGGCACCGCGCGCGCCCAGGCACAATGGCGGGAAATGGGGGGGGG